CCAAAACGTTTATCCATGTTCCCTTTTTGTCAATAAACAATGTTATATATCATAAGTGTCGTAATCTTGTTTATAATTATATTCATTTTGATAAACAAATTTTTAAACAAGTAATGGTAATATTGATGAGAGGTAATTATTCAAGTTATGTTGTCAATTTATATCTTTGTTATAATGAAAATAAATTTATAAATAGTTTTACAAATCCAAATTTATTTTCCTGACATATAAATGATTTAGTCAATACTAATAATCCGTAAATTAGAATTATATTGGTAACATTTACACCTGTGGTTTTACAAATCGAAAATACTTCAATATCAGACACTGAAGCTGATTTTTAGATTTTGATTTTAAGATAATTAATTATTGTAGTAAAATTAATATTTTCGTTATGGACTTTCCTCACCAAATGGTAATGTTCCAAAACATGCTATAAAGAGTGTTATAAATTCACATCTTGATATTATAAAATTTGCAGTAACATACAATTCTCAATATCTAATACAAATATATTAATATAAAAATTGATTTTCAATAGTTTTGATGAAAAAAAAGTTAATTAAGTGTTTTAAGTTATTTTGAAATGAATATAAAAAGTTTTTATATAGTTTTCAAAATAATGACATAAATGAAATTATCATAAGAACAATAAAAATAAATTCTGTATGTTATTTTTAAGAAAGAAAATAATGAGAATTTTTTATTTTAGACATTTTTATATCTAAATAGCTGACTGTTCGTCATGTGAGAGTTATTTTGCAAAAACAACCTTTTTTATATTCGGTCATCTCCTTTAAGTGACCCTTAATTAGAATTTTGACTGATGTATATTTTTACTTTATGTTCAAATATCCTTCTTCATAAAGTCTTATAGACTGAACCATGTGAAAAAACTGGTTCTCAACGAAATATTCCTATATAGTCAAACGTATGAACCTGTGATTTATTAATTGTGATGGTAAAAGCAATGAACTTTATGTGGAAGGCCAAACGCACAAAAGTATAACTTTTCTTAAAATATGCTTATAAGTCTAAGGGGAAAACAGCAATAACACTTTCGATGACGAGGAACCCACTTTGAGACTAATAATGGCTGGAGACGGCTTAAATGGGTAATGAAGAAAAACTTTAATATAAGTTTAACATGACAGCAAATGTACAACGTT